CTGCTCTCATCTTGGTATTCATGCGCCTCAGGGCAGGGGAAAGCAAGTCACAAAGTTCCATGAAAGTGCCCTTACGCATGCGAAAGTTTCGCAGCCACTGGGAATCGTCCCAGACCCGCAACACTATGCGGTCCCACCAGTCTGTGCTTGTTTCCCGAGCCCAGAATCGGCGTTCCACAGCATGAACCTGCCCCATTAGCACCATGATGCATGCATTGGCAGGGCCCATGCTTTCAGAGAAATCTGTGTCCATGTCCTGATCACTCACGTGACCGCGCTGACGTCGCCTCCTCGCCCGGTATCGCTTTGCCAGGTTCTGGTGCTGCATATACTGCTGGATAATGCGTGTGGTGTTTAATGTGCTCCTAATTGCCAAAGTGAGCTGAGCGTCCTCCATGCTTGCCTTGGTATGGCGTCCACACAGAAAAAAGGCGCGGAACGATTGTCTGCCGTTGCTCTGATGGAGGGAGGGGCGACTGACGACACGGCTTACAGGGAGCTTCAGGGAGCTAAAATCAACAAAGGGGGTGCCTGTACGTCAAGGAGTATTTCAGGCAGGACTTCACGGAGGGTTCCAATAAGAAATGGTGCACCTAAGTTATCGTTCTTATTGGAACAAGGAGGTTAGCCTGGCCTCTGATTGATACATGGCTAGATTTACCTCGCTGCACCTTCTCTGTGAGTGACTGCAGTGTGATCTAGAGGAATGAGTCCCCTAGACAGGGGAGGAGGCAAATGAGTACAAAACAAATCTGGTCTATTTCTTGTTTTGAGCCACTCCATCTATCTTTTACATCTTTGGCTGGCAGCAGATGGTGCAGAAGGACTGCATGCCATCCACATCTCATGGCTGCTCGGCAGAAGATGGTACAGTACGACTGCTAGCCATCTTCATCTCTTGCCTGCCTGGCAGAAGATGGTACAGTACGACTGCTAGCAGTCTGTATCGCCTGCCCGCTCACCATAAGACGGTTCAATAGGACTGACTGCGGGACTAAAGAGAATGACCTGGTCAAGTCACTCCAAATTTAGTCCCTGCGCCCATGTCTGCCCAGGCGCTCCCAGCCGACATGGCCAGGAGCACCTCGGACACGACGAGGACGACTACCAGTCGTATTGCACCGTCTGCTGCCAGAAGGCAATGGGTTGCTGCTACTGTGCAGCAAAGCCGTACCGAGTCTGCCAGCACCCAGGAGACATAGGGTGACGGTTACCTGAGCGGGCTCCATGCTTGCCGTGGTATGGCGTCTGCACAGGTAACTCAGGGAAAAAGGCGCGAAATGATTGTTTGCCCTTGCTTTCACGGAGGGAGGGAGGGAACGGGGGCCTGACGATACGTACCCAGAACCACCCGCGACAATGTTTTAGCCCCATCAGAGTGCTCCATTGTGACTGCTCTGGACAGCACTCTCAGATGCCCGATTGTTTGCCGTTGCTCTGACGCCGGGAGGGGCGCTTACAGGGTTGGCTTCAGGGAGCTAAAATCAACAAAGGGGGTGGCTTTACATCTAGGAGTATTTCAGGCAGGACTTCATGGAGGGTTCCAATAAGAAATGGTGCACCTAAGTTATTGTCCTTATTGGAACAAGAAGGTTAGCCTGGCCTCTGATTGATACATGGCTAGATTTACCTCGCTGCACCTTCTCTGTGAGTGACTGCAGTGTGATCTAGAAGAATGAGTCCCCTAGACAGGGGAGGGGGGGAAGCAAATGAGTACAAAACAAATCTGGTCTATTTCTTGTTTTGATCCACTCCATCTATCTTTTACATCTTTGGCTGGCAGCAGATGGTGCAGAAGGACTGCATGCCATCCACATCTCATGGCTGCTCGGCAGAAGATGGTACAGTACGACTGCTAGCGGTCCGTATCGCCTGCCCGCTCACCATAAGACAGTTCAATAGGACTGACTGCAGGACTAAAGAGAATGACCTGGTCAAGTCACTCCAAATTTAGTCCCTGCACCCATGTCTGCCCAGGCGCTCCCAGCCGACGTGGCCAGGAGCACCTCGGACATGACGATGACGGCTACCAGTCGTACTGTACCGTCTGCTGCCACAAGGCAAGGGGTTGCTGCTACTGTGTAGCAATGCCGTACCGCGTCTGCCAGCACCCAGGAGACATAGGGTGACGGTTACCTGAGCGGGCTCCATGCTTGCAGTGGTATGGCGTCTGCACAGGTAACTCAGGAAAAAAGGCGCGAAATGATTGTCTGCCCTTGCTTTCACGGAGGGAGGGAGGGAACGGGGGCCTGACGATATGTACCCAGAACCACCCGCGACAATGTTTTAGCCCCATCAGGCATTGGGATCTCAACCCAGAATTCCAATGGGCAGCGGAGACTGCGGGAACTGTGGGATAGCTACCCACAGTGCAACGCTCCAGAAGTCGACTCTAGCCTCGGTACTGTGGAAGCGCTCCGCCGAGTTAATGCACTTAATGCACTTAGAGCATTTTCTGTGGGGACACACACACTCGAATATATAAAACCGATTTCTAAAAAACCGACTTCTATAAATTCGACCTTATTCCGTAGTGTAGACATACCCTTACTAGAGCAGGTACATACAGTGCCGCAAAAGTACATACACAATTGTATTTTTAATTCAATGGACTCCAAAGGTATGAACCCTAATTCAATAAGGTTTAACCTAATAAAGTTCATTCAGGATATCATAGGAAACTGTCAGTCTGTTACAGTGCTTTGTTGGGTTAGAAGGATTAAAACAGTTCTCTGCGTGGACTATTCATTTTATATTAAACCTAGCTTCTAGCAGAGGTTGCATTTGCATGTATGTGTTAACTTGAGGCATGGGCTGGGGACATACCATCCCTACTAAATGTTGTTAGTCATACTAACAAGCAATTCTCAACCAGTGAATCAGATGAAATACATTTGAAATAACTGCTAGTAAGGAGGGAGATGATCTAGCTGTACAGATTCTGCCTCGAGAGGTTTCTTCCTCCAGTTGTGAAGAACTCAGACAGAACTATTGTGCTCCTGAGAAGTATTAAACTGAAAGATAACAGTCAATGTCACTCAAGCTTCATCTGTTTCCTTCAGTGCACAAGTACTGTTACAAGCCTATATGACGTTTGAATGGGAGACAGCATGGCCAATACATAAAGCACTGGACTGGGGGTTAGGAGATCTGTGTTCTGCATCCAGCATTGCCAGTGAACCTGGTGTGGGTCCATGGGTAAAACCTTCTTGTGCCACCATGTCTTCACCTGTAAATTAGGGATAATTATATTTTCATTTACAAAATGCTTTGAGATCTGCAGAGGATCTCGGAGGCTCAGGTGCTTTATTCTGTTAACATGGGTGTTAATTGTGCACGTTGGTAACTTATGTTTTGCTTGTGTAATAATGGCTATTAATGTTTAATTTCTGTGATAAGTTTATAAAGAAATGATGCTGAGACTTTGGTCCTACTTCCTATAAATAAGAATTCCAGCAATATAGATTCTTTAAGGAATGGCTTCCCAATTTATATTGATAAACTATAAGGCCATATCAGAACAAAGGCCCAAACATCCCAGAACTCTGGAAAAGTTCAAAGCCAAACTTTGCAGCTTGGGTTGAGCTCTAATTTATGGTTTATAATTTGTCTTAGTTACATCTCCTATGGCCCAGTCTTGCAATCTCATCTATGCGGGTGTACTCCTGATCGGTGTGAGTGAGGGTCCAGCTGAATGGATCTGATTGTGGAACTGAGACCTATAGCAGTATGCTGGTTCTTCTCCATAGAAAAGTTTCTTAAAAAACAGAAAAAGGAAGGACATTTCCATCAGGATTTTTTTTATTTAACCCTTTTGTCCACCCAATTTGGCTATTTCCCCCCGCCCGCCGCCATTTTTTAAATTGAATTCTTCCCTATTATGATTTTCAATCCTGGAATGGGCTGATATGAAATTCGTAACTCAGTGATGGTCTTTGGAGAATACGTGGCTGTGCAGCTTACAGACACTGTAGCAGGGTGTGGGTAGAGGTGTGTGAAGAATTGATTTTCCAATTATTTGGGAGTTTATCAACACCAAATTCAGCTTGGGTCAAACCAAGACTGAATTTTTTTAGAATTTTTGGTGAGTGGAAAAAGTCAGAAAACCCTGTCTTGGGGCAAAGGAAATATTGATTTCAGACATTTTAAGCACGTATTTAATTAATTAATTTGGATAAAGGTACAGAAAGCAAGGGGCTAGATTCACAAAAGAGAGGAGGAGATGGCTAGGCCACTTACCTGGGGAACTGCATTTGAATTCCTACTCTGGAGCAGGGACTTGAACCCAGCTTTGTTTTCTCCCAACTAAACACCAGACAACTGGTTGCCCACTTTGTATGAAATACTTGGCTAGCCAGAGAGAGAGAGTGAGAGAACTGCAAGAGAATGATTGTATAGCCAGGTAGCTGCTCGCATGTTGGTGGGAGAGACCTGGGTTCAAATCCCTTCTCTAGAGCTGGGATTCAAACATGGGATCTCCCACATCCCAGTTGAGTGCCCGAACTAGTGGGTATAAGGTTACCATTGCTGCTGCCATCATCTCCATTTTGTGCAAGATGCCTAAATCCCCTTTGTTTCACTCTTGCTGAAACACCCCGCTTAGACATTTCCAACGTGTTTTTTGTTTCAGCTGAAACAGTTTGACAAAATCCACATACATTTGTGATATGTTTTGATGACTCAAACCTGCATTTTTTGGGGGGGAGGAGGAGGAAAGGGTTGGCTGAAAAAGTCCACCCAGCTCTGAAACCGATAAATAATGACTACTCTTATCCTGTTTTCAATGTTCAAGGCACCTGCCACAGCACGGTACAAAAGAATCAATTAAAAATGGATCCCAGGCTTCTAAAATCTACTACACTATCTTTTAGAGACTATATTTTGAACACTATTCCAGAGCATCTAAATAAAAATCCAAGTGTTAAATGCATGCAGGTTAATAATGTCTTTTTCTCATTTCAGTGTGTCTGTTTTTCAATTAGCTTTGTTTGACTGGCTGGTTACGGATCAGCTGTGAAGTTGATGGGTAAATAAATTTGTTTGTCTCCCTCCGTTACTTTTATACATGGGCACCATTGGAAAGCTAATCTGAAACCAGAACGAAACCTGCAAACATGCACAAACACAAAAAGGAAATTAAATGATACAATGATCATGCTAACTGCAAAGAGAGAGAGCTGGGGCATGCTCCACCCTTGAATGAGCATGGGGATAGGAAAGGCTTCCATTGAAGTCAATGAGAGCCCTGTGCACTTGTCTGAGGGAAGAATTTGGTTGTTGCAGGATTGAATGCATAAAAAGAGAGAAACACTTTCACTGCTCAGATGGACGAGGCAGTGATCAGGTCTCTTTCTATTTTATGTATTGCACTATCAGAGAGAATGTGCCTTCCTTTCAAACACAAAACATAAAAACCCCTACAAGTTTGGGTTGTAACAAGACTGTACTGGTTAGCTAGTTTTTCATTCTGACATTTACAGATGGATTGTTCATGTAGGTCCCTTGTGTGTTTAATATAGTCACTCTTAATAAATGCTAAATGACCGTGAGCTGTATTGAGAAAATTCCAGTTAGAGACAGGACATTAGAGGAGCGGCTTTAAAGAAAGAAGAGTAGTTGTTAATTCATTAGGTCTTTATTTTGCAAACCTGCTTACGTGGATACCTGAATAAGCAATGAGGATGACTACTGCTGCTGTGCTCTTGCCTGCTTTAATTTTAAATGTGGAGAGCTTTATTTTGTTTGTGATTTATGTTCTAGGGCCTAGAGTCTCGGCAGCCATAGCTAGACTCAGCAATGTCAGGTGTTACTGCATCAGGTAGGCAAACAAGAGGCAGATAATACAAATGCCTTTTGTTACTCTATTCTCAAATGATCCTACACCATGGAAGTGGATGCAAGTTCTGATCACATAGTAACTCTCTGAATTTTACTGAGGGCAAAACATTTTAAAACTGATTTAAAATGGCTAGCAACACGCAGCGCGTGTTGAGAGAACTCCGGACTAAATTCTCTGTGGGTCTAAATGGGCAAAGCTCCATTGAGTTCAATAGAATTCCTCCCATTCACACCTAAGGAATTTAGCCACTTGCCTATAGGATGGTGGGATTTTTTTGTGTTTGTTGTTTTTTTTTTGTTTTTTTTGCTACTAACCTTTGGTTAAGGCAGCAGTAAATAATTGGATTGTACATTGTAGAACTCATAGCAAGCAGAAAGACTGCAAGATAGACTTGCTGAATATACTTTTGCTGATAGATGTCTTCCCTGAAGCTCCCCAGGATGAAGTAGAGGTGATAAGGTAACCAACAGACAGCAAAAGTTATCACAACAATGACCATGGTCCTCACAAACTAGAAATGTAAAAGGAATACTTTAATTCATTGTCTCTGTGCAATTATCTGAAGTTTCATGTTTATCTGATTTAAAACAATACTGTTCTTCCTCCTGATTTATTAAATCAGTGCATATTTTTATCATATGTTAGGGGTTTTATTATGCTTTAGATCAATGAGAACTCCTCCTACACTATTGATGCTGATAGGAGTTCTGAGTGCAAGAAAGCGGAAGGGCATATAGTGACTGTAGATTTTATGTTTCTTTGCATTAATACATTTTAGCATATTAAGGTAGCCTGCTCCATAAGAATTGTTTACAGTCAAATTGGAAATATTAGGGAAAGGTAGATAAAATATTAGGGAAAGGTAACCATCAGTTGAACTAGTGGTGGTGTATAATGGGAAGAGAAATTTCTTCCTGTCTGCAGCATACATAGATCTATTCCTTGAAGCATGAATCCATTGGACACTACCTCCTCCACTCAATGTAGCCTTGGGCAAATCAGTACATTCTCCCTGATTGGAAGGTCTCTCTTTTAGAGACTATCTTATGACAAATTATTGCTTTTCACACTCAGGAGGTCTGTGAAAAGAGCACCTCATCCCCTCCTCTGACGCTATTTTGTCACTTTTTCATACATCCTTAATATGCCAATGTGCAATCACACAGCATTGCAAGACTTTGCATGAATGTAAGGTACATTTCACAGCTAGAGTCAGAACTGCTGGCAAGATAAAAGATAATTATTAAGTTTCACTTCTAACCTTTTTTTTGGGCAGTAACTTGATGGTGATAATAGACTCTATTAGTGTGGTCTCTGGGAACTGTACTACTCCAAAGAGTAATTCCTATAATGCTATATGCGACAAACATCATTATTAAAGGCAGCAGGTAAATCAAGGCAATCACTATGATGTGATACCTGAAAAAGAAAAACAGATACATCTTCACATTTAATGTGTGTCTCAAAGACCTTTTGTCCAAGTGTTATACCAATAAAATAAAAACCAGCAGGATCTTATTAAAGGGGAAAAGGCAAAATGCCACATTTATTGTGGATACAGAAAGATTCAGAGTAAGCAGTTAGTTATAGCTATAACATTCAATTCAATTTCATATTCATTCTCACACACACACACACACACACACAGGTTCTGCAAGGTTGTTATCATAGTTACCAGCCTTAGAGTTGCTCATGCCAAGCCACTGTCCAGGTGGCCTGGACATGAGGAGGGAGCAGGACCTTGTCAGATGCTCATCGGATGCTCCTGGAAGTTGGTTTGCAGAATCAGACCCCAAAGTTCTCACTTTCTAGAGTCCATTTTTATAGGAATTTCTTCCTATGCCAGTCTATGGGAATTGCTTCATCAGCAGATGGCACATTCCTGACGGCTCTGTGCTGCCAGATGTTATCTTGTTCTTTGGTTCTCCCATTCTTGAGGCTGTTGGGTGGATTCCAGTCTGCCCTCCGGGGGTCCTCTGGTTATTTCCACTTGACACCTTCTTCAGCCAATGGACACTGGATTCTTAGGCTGGCACCTCTCTGATCATTCAGTTATTATCCACACCAAGCATCCATCCACATACATCCTCTATCTCTATTCTAATTGTTAACAAAGCGAGATGAATACAACAAAAGGGCAGGGAGTCTCTGGGTGCTGTTTCTGTTGTTACAGAGTATTGCTTTGAGTCTCTCTCTGTGTGAGTAGTTGTGACAAAGAATTGCTTTGAGAACAGAGTCTGTCTTAGAATGTACTAACACAATTAGCAGCTTGCAAGTTTCAAATAGAGAGGGAGAGAAACAGTACCAGAAACCAAGAGACCTCTTAATTAGTAATACCCTGGAATTTAAACTATGGGGAATCAAACTCATTTGTGATTTTAATGCAGAACTTCTTTAATATGATCCAACACAAGTGTCTCATACTTCCCAGGGATGTGTGTGCATGGTTCCCATTAACTTCCATGGGAGCTGTGCACCTGCATCTGAGAACAGAATTTCACCTTAAAGCCTCAATGCAGATGGAAGGAACTTCCACAAACTGTAAAAATGCATTTCTTTCATGTTCCAGTGATCTTTCCTCAAGCTGAAGTCTTGGCTCTTTTTAAGGACAACATTATTTATCTTTTTAACAGTGACTTAGATTTCATGTCAGCTTGTTCAGGGTTCACTGCCTTACTGGGATCATGACAGAGGGATTTATAGCATTTGTGGCTATAAAAAAGTTAGCTACAAATTATGGAAGATATAAAATCAAAATTTTATAAAATCATGAAGTACCTTCCAGTACACAGGGCTGAATTCTGAGGTTCTTAATCCTGCAAATTCCTGTTGAAGTCAATGGGAATTTTGCTGGATTAAGTACTTCAAATTTCAATGTATTGGAAGCAAGTGTGGCTGGATTTTTAAGAAAGATAACCGGGAATACTGCTTTGTAAAGTTTTGATAAGCATTCAAACTTAGATTATTATTTATATTGTTTTTTTATTTACAAACAAAAATAAATACTTAAACCAATGGTCAAAGCAGGCGACCTAGCTGTCGCTATTACCGAAACCAATAGCATCTGCTTCAACTGTATATGAGAACACTATTTAATGTTACCCAACAAGTTTCATTTCATGTAAGGAAAATATAAATGTTATGCTTGGTATGATTATTTTAAGCAATCACCATTTATGGGGAGGGAACAACTGATTTAGTCAGTTACAGCAGATGTCATTTTCACATAAACTCTGTAAAAGGATTATGCATTAAGCCTTTGGCACACACTTCTGGCATTAACCACAAAAGGCTATGTATGTGTTTCTTCTCAGAATGATGACATTATGTAGTTATTTGCTACATCAAAGTGGATTACATATTTAGCTAAGTATGTGGTCCCCAGATTATAAAAATACGTGGATTCTTCCTGCCTGAAGTGTGGGGTGAGGGGGATTCACTGGAACCAAGATTTATTGCCTATTTAGCAGACTTTACATTCCGTTTTCTCTTATCACATTCACACAATATAACCCCCATTTCCACCCCTTTGGGTGTCTCCCTCTGCAACATCAGCTGGGTTACAGCACAAATTCTCTGATCAGGGAGATGAACAGCCTTCTCCTAGGTTGCAATGCTGTTTTATTTCTGGCTAACAAGAAGTGCTTAAGGGTACAGTTGTCCTTCCCTTTGCCTCATGGAGTCAGAAGGGTATTACTTCCTTATTGCTCTTGTAACCAAGGGTACTTAAATTAGAAAAACTTCCAGTAAACTTTCAAGTGATGCTGCATAGATTTCTCATTTCTATTTTATACAACTGAGAAGTTCTTACATGAACTGATGCTTCCGTCCAACATCATCTGGCCAGGCAACAATACATTTAGTCTTTCCATTATCGATCATGATCTCAGCATAAAAGCACTACGGGAAGGCGAGTCCAAAAGCCACCAACTATATTATTCCTATAATTACTTTGGTGCTCACAGCAGAAAGTTTGGGCTTAAAGGGATAAATTATAGCCATGTACTTAGGAGAAAAATGGGGTAACATCATTTTTATTGTTGTACCAATAAACTAGTCAAAAATTATAATGAGGGCAAAAATATCCCAAATCATGTATCAATACATAATCAAAACTACATATTTCATTTGGTGCACATTTTTTTTTGTTTGTTTTTTTGGGTTAGTAACTTCCATTGGAAGGAAAAATTACAACATTTTATAACAAGTCACTGCTAGTTTATCCTAAGGGAATGCACTATTGTGTGTGAAACTTATTATACCTTGTATCAACAGTTCCTCGCTCTCTTGGTTAGTACAATAACATTCATAAAGAGAGCAATCCTTTTGTGTAAGAGTACATGCATAATAGGTTTTCAGTGATCCTCCTTCTTTCTAATCTTAATTGCTGCCTCCTCGCTGTATCTTATAATTTACTAATTTGGAAAGCTTGAATGAACTAAGCTAAACAAAACTTTCTGCAAATACCAACACAAACTACTGTCCATGAACGAACACAGTCCACCTTAAATAACGAAGACAGCTGAATGTGCTGCTGTGTGGAACTGATGTTAGGCCCAGCTGAATAATTGCAAAGCCAGCTCAGTCCACAAGAATGATTTGCTCCATCGTTGCAGCTGTCTCTCACTGAAGCCAGAAAAAAGTACTGAAACTGTGATATGTGTTTGGTCTGAATTTTGGTAGCATGAATTGCATTCATATTTTCAGTAGCAGATGTGTATATATATTAAAGCTTTGAGTTACATATTGCTTTGTTGCATGGAATCTATTTCCTGCTAACAGGGAAGATTAAATTAAAGCAGGGTCTCCACCAAAGCCTCCTATTTTATTCTCAACAGCAGTTCGTGGTCTTGCAAGTCATTTGCCATGTATCTGAACTGTTGATTTGTAGCAGTGGAAACTCCTTGTGTCACCTGCCTCCTCTTTCTGTAACCACTCTCGCACTTGTGTTAGCAGTTTAAGTGGTGTACTGTTGATTCTTTTCTCCCACACCTGTTCAGAACAATCATGTCAAGTATCTGACTGTAAAATTACTTGGAGGAGCAATGCCTTGTTTTTAACGTCTCTGTGTAAAAACGCAGTTGTATTTTAGAATATGTAATCAATTATTCACATCTGCCTTACTCTTTATCATGGTTATTTCAAAGTCCAGCTAGAGTGGAAAACTGCAATCACTTCCTTGATTTCATAGCTGAGGAAGACTGTGGCTATTGAAGAGAATTCTGTGCAGGTCTTCATACAACATAGACATGATAAAGAATACATGAACACAAGCACCATATGTATTGCATATCTGTCAGAGCCTTATTTAGAGAGAAGTAATGTACAATTCCTGTGATACTTTTTGTTTCTTTAGCCTACAGTATATTAAGTTATATTTTGCTAGAACCCGGCCAGGAAAGAGTCAAACAGTAAACAGTCCCCTAAGTGTTAGATTCATAAACTTTTGTAAGCAATCTGTGTTCTATTCCGTTTCTCATGATGAAAAGCAACTCTGAAATAGAACAGTCAATTATGACACTGACTGAGCTGTCAATGAGGAATTGAACCAAGTGCTGGAGCTAAAGAAGGTATTACAGCAATGCAGAGCAGATTACTGAGATGATGGCTTTAGATAAACACCAACAAGTTTGGACACTCATCCAAATTTAGAGATTTCTTCTCCCTCCCTCTCTCCTTGCTATGTCCCTGAGCTTCCCTTCTCTTTCTCTTCCCCCACTCCCTACAGGCTTCCATCATGCCCCACTCTACGTGACTTCCTCCCTACTCAGACAAAACAACTGGATCAATTGCACAAACTGTAAGTTTGAACACTATGTGCTTATGAACTTTTCCAAGGGAGCCTGGTGGGGTTTGTTATTTGGAACTTGAATCTCCAGCTACTGATACACCTCTGCCTGGAGGCCTAGGTGTAGCTTGTCTGCATTAGCCATACTGTGCAGGTTCTACAGGTATTGTAATATACAGTGCAGCTGGAAATATTAGCAGATCCTCTGGCTGGCAAGAAAGAAACAGCTCAATGCTAAACATTGTGACAAAGGCAAAATGACTGGAGTCCTTCCCACAGTGATGACTAACAGTACGGTAAGTGACTTTTAGATATGCCACTTTTAGGATAAACTATTTTAAATTACAGTGTTTCATCAAGGTCAGACAACCGAGGTTGAGCAGACATTAACATCTATAACAATAAAAGGAAACAGAATCTTTCAGTTTCCAGGAGACAGTGTCAGGATCTATTTAAGGTCAAGTAAAGGATAGCTAAACATGGTTAGGCAGAGCTGCCAAGTTTTCTTTTTGAACCTTAGCATATGACTACAAAGGTTTTAGTTTTATATTTTTAACAAGAATTCCTAAGAAGTAAAATAGAAACTTACAACTTACAAACCCACAACTCTCTGCACGCCATACAGGATAACTTTGATCTATTCTGCAAGATAGTTTCAACTGTTAATAATAATCCTCAAGGTTTTTCATGGCCTGGTTGTAGTCTCATTAAATTCCAAAGATAATCTGAGCAAGATTCTCCTGATTTAAAAAAAAAAAGAAAAAAGAAAACAGAAAAGTGCTGTGTTAATTGTACTTACCGATTGCAGAATACAATAAAAGATTAGAAAAGTGCAATTTCAAGATGAAACTAAATCCATATGGATTACTTGAAATTCTAAAGTGACCAGGGTGTCAGTCTCTTTCATTAATCTCCACAAACAGGATAAAAGACTTCTCCCACCCACATAGTGCTCCATTACAAAACTTTTTAATCTGATCACAACCATCCTTGTGTCAACACTTCCGCATATTAGCCACCTCATATCTTCACTCTCATTAGTACATTCCCACCTTCCCATTCATTTTCTATTTGTATAGTGCCTGTATTATCATACCGGAGTCCTGCCAGTTACATAGATTGTGGTTTTTTTTTTTATGGGCCAAATGTTCTCATGGCTTGTTCATTGAAAATGGAAGTAATTAATTTAAAACATGCCTCTAAATTCTTCACAGAAGCCAAAACCTCCTGGTTAGTATATTATTTATAACACAAAGAAGGTCCCTCTCAGAAGAACTGAAATTTTACTGTAAAATGAGGTTAATGATCCTTCCTTCCTTTGTAAAGCACTTTGTGATCTACTAATGAAAAGAGCCGTAACAGTTGGGTAGTATTAGTATTTATTTATTTATTTTCATTGCAAGAATGTTTAAATCTTGAACAGTATTAAATAAGTAACCAATTCTAGAGGTTATTATCTCAAGAAAAAGATCTGCAAGCTTGTAAAAATGTTAGTGGTTGAGCAGTGAAGCATGTGTCTTATATGTTTGCTATTTTGGAAAAATAATACAAGATATTACAAGAAGTAGAGCCCGTTCCTATAGCTGTTACACACATTGAACTCTTGTTGACTTCAGTGAGGACTTTGTATACATAACAGCTACAAAAGCAGGACTTAAGCAACATTAACCTCCTAGCAGCCGAAATACACCTTGGGTGTGGCAAAATAGAGTTTGATTGTGGCTGTATGAGTCAGAGCTATGCTAGGGGAAGACCCACTGCACTACTGGTAGTTCCTGAGGACAGGCAGGGGGGATGTGTGTGCATGTGTGTTTTTGTGTGATGCTTTTCACGGATACCCAGGGCTGTGAGGCACCTCACTATTACTTGCCCTTGGCATGAGGAAGCCTTGTCTGCATGCCAGGGATCAGTTCCCTGACTATATCAACTACAAGCAACACAAGCGCTGCCCATGCAGGTTTGCAGTTAAGCAATTGGCACACTCCAACACCCGAGTTCTCTGAGTGTCTCCCTAAAGTGCCCAGTCCTGTTGCGCTAGACACTCAGAATTTCCAGATTCTCTGTTCCCAAAGGAACAGTACACCACAGCTTACCAGTTACACTGAAGGACACAGCTCCGCTTAACACACAGCACTTAGATTTGTTTATAGCAAAAATAAGAATGAGTTTATTGAACAAAGTTCAGAGATACTAGTGATAGTGTCAAGGTTCCTTCCCCACTCTGAACTCTAGGGTACAGATGTGGGGACCTGCATGAAAACCTCCTAAGCTTATCTTTACCAGCTTAGGTTAAAACTGCCCCTAACTATTTTACCTTTTGCCCTTGGACTTTATTGCTGCCACCACCAAACATCGAACAGGGATATAATTGGGAAAGAGCCCGTTTGGAAACGTCTTTCCCCCCAAAATCCTCCCAAAAACCTTACACCCCCCTTCCTGGGGAAAGTTTGATAAAAATCCTCACCAATTTGCATAGGTGACCACAGACCCAAACCCTTGGATCTTAAGAACAATGAAAAAGCATTCAGATTTTTAAAAGAAGAATTTTAATAGAAGAAAAAGTAAAAAGAATCACCTCTGTAAAATCAGGATGGTAAATACTTTACAGGGTAATTAGATTAAAAACATAGAGAATCCCTCTAGGCAAAACCTTAAGTTACAAAAAGACACAAAAACAGGAATCTACATTCCATTCAGCACAGCTTATTTTCTCAGCCATTTAAAGGAATCCGAATCTAACGCATATCTAGCTAGATTACTTACTAAGTTCTAAGACTCCATTCCTGTTCTGTCCCCAGCAAAAGCATCACACAGACAGAGAGAGAGAGAGAGGCTTCGCTTCTCCCTCCCCCCAGCTTTTGAAAGTATCTTGTCTCCTCATGGGTCATTTTGGTCAGGTGCCAGTGAGGTTATCCTAGCTTCTTAACCCTTTACAGGTGAAAGGGTTTTTCCTCTGCCCAGGAGGGATTTTAAAGGTGTTTACCCTTCCCTTTATATTTATGACAGATAGCAAGTAGAAATACTGGAAAAAATGGTTACATATAAAACAAAATCATAACATTCACTCTAGAATATAAACTTACCTAACAAGCTGCCCTTTTGCCTAATAAAGTACTGCTTACAAACGCCATCTCATAATGTTTTCAACAAGATGCCTGAGACCATGCTTTCATCAGACCAAGCCCACTGGCAGATTGTCTCCCCAGAAGAAGGATGCCGAGGCATTGCTCTGCACCCCCTAGCTATATTAGACCAGTCCTTTTTTCTTCACCTATAAACTTCCCCCTCCCATCCTGACTGGGTCACATCTTCCTGTTAATTTATTCTCATGGAGTCCCCGCAATCTCTTCATTTGCATTTGACTCACTATGCAAATAGACTTCCACTCTAAGACACATAATATATGTGTCTCCTTCCCCCTGTCTGGTGGAACCTCTGGGTGACCTGCCTTTAACTTCAAGGATTTAAGAACATAATTTCATATATATATGACAGAGAGGCCGTTCCACAGCTCCTTCATATTGACCCTGCACTGCAGTGTGTGACCGGGACACACTGCAGTGCATGGTCAATGTGAAGGAGCTGCGGAACGCCTACCACAAGGCGCGGGAGGCTAACCGCCACTCCGGTGCTGTGCCCATGAGCTGCCGGTTCTACAAAGAGCTGGACGCAATACTCAGTGGTGATCCCACCGCCATGGCATAGGCCACTGTGGATACTTCGGTGGCTCGCATGCCAGTTGAGAGTGGACCGAGCCAGGAGGAGGAAATCTTGGACAAGGATGTGGAAGGGGAGGGGGACCCAGAGGCAGAGGATGACTTGGAGGTCAGAGATGCATGCAGCCAGGAGCTCTTTTCTACCCCAGAGGAGGTTAGCCAGTCACCGCTGTCAGAGCTTGGTGAAGCACAAACAGGAGAGGAGGCCCCTGGCAAGTGGATTTGATTTTGGGAATAGCTGAAGTGAGTTATTGGGTTCAGGAGGGTTGCAGAAAGCAGTCTTGTCTTCCACCGCATGCCTAGTCTGAGCAGTGGAACAGGCTGTTGATTGACTCCCTCACTTTGTGAGAATCTCCCTCAGAACTCTCCAGGAAATTATCCTGGAGATACTGGGCAATCCGCTGCCGCAGGTTCGGTGGCAGAGCTGCTTTGTTTCTTGCCCCATTAACAGTAACTTTCCCGCACTACTGTGCCGTCACGGGGTGGTGGTGGGCGGAGGCCATTGCTGCACACAGGTGAGCCACATAGGGGCCAGGGAGGAAGCTGCAGGTTTGGAGAAGACCCTCCCTTGATTTCCTGCTCACCCTCAGGAGTGGGATATCTTCTATAATGATCACATCCTGTGGAAAGTGTGGGGACAGGAATGATTATCAGGCTGCCCCTACAGTGCTGGCTTTCCCCAACAGTCACGTGCCCAGTGTACAGCAGGGTCTGGGAAGAGTGATTTTCCTTCCCGCTGCAGCTACTCACCATTTTGGGGGTCTTGCGGCTCATGTGTGCTTGTCTGGGGTCAGCCAGTTAGTGACAGGCATGTGAGTACTGGCTGTGTTTTAAATCACTGTTTTCTGTGTTGCAAACAATGCTGCTTCTGTAAAATGTTGTGTTTAA